CTGCGCGCTTCGCTATTCCATTAACCTCCTTAGCTTCTTTGAAAAGACTTGCAGATCTCGCAACTTCTGTCTGGATTTTTTGGAATTGATCGTCTCTGTGTTCATGTAGAATCTCACACAATTTCTGCCTATCTTTTAATGTAGTGGTATTGGGTTGCTCATCAAGGAGTTTGATTATTTGAGGGAATTCGCGGCCACAACGAGCCCGAATGAGCCCATCAATTATTCCTTGGGATATGTCTTGATTGCGCTGTGAATCCTTGATAACACGTTAGCAACTGAATCCTTGGTGTCAAGGAATAGATTTGTATTACCAGTGAGGGTGCTGCCGGTTCTCTTGCCAACGATTGGCCACTGGAGTTGGAAGTCATTTTTCGTATCACTACACCTGTTTCAGATGTGAATAACTCTTAGGAAGATGGATGAAGTTGCAAGCGGATAAAATTTTCTCAAATATCAGTTCCCTCGGCAACTAAAATAGCAATTATTTATTTTAAAATTCACTTTGATGATACGGAACATCACTACATGATCACGTGACTAGGAAAGAATTCGAAGTGGATTTAGCGAAAGTGATTGATTGATTGATTTAATTAACGTCCACACTGAGTCAAAGACTATCTAGGACGGTTAAGAGCTCAATCGAGCTCTTAATAGATGGCTATGGGTAGTGCTATCTAAATAGCATATAGGTTTGTATATATTTTTGATGAGGGAAGTGAAAACTAATACTGGGGAGCAAAGCCCGACCTCTATACGGTATCGCATATAAAGATAAAAATACCAATCAAAGTATTACACTTATGATTTTCCAAATCCGATCCTTCCATCAATCAAATCCAAACAACCTTCCTTCACATCAACTCTTTGTCCTATTCGTAACTTCCCAGCGGTCATGCCTTGCCTAATATCGATTTCATAGAACCCTCCAAACCATAGGGATATTGATCCTACAAGGTGCTCCAATCCTATATGTAGTATATCCTCCACCGAATTCTATGGCAGATACGTCATTAGCTCGGGTCGTTCCACGTAGCTCCTCCAAGTATATGAATTGTTGTTGTTTCGATTCGAATCGAAAGAGGTAAGGCCTGAACCTTAAAACCGAATTTGATAAATCGTGTTCGATGCTTTAAAAAGATCTTGGAGATGATTTTGTAATATATTATCATAGATGATGATGTTGTCCTTTGTTTTGTAATAAAAATAGTATTATAGAAAGCACAATCCGATAATACAATTGTCAAAAAACCGAGATCTGGTCTTTGCCATCAACCAACTCGGAGGCAAAAAACATCGCGATCGGGTGCCTCTTCCTCTTCCAATCACCACGACTCCATCAAATGACTCAAACTTAGCTCTACAGACTCTAATAATTAAATAAAAGAGCTGGAGGTTCGTAGAGGACACCGCGTACAGGTGTTGAGTCTTGTCCTCCTAGCGAAAGTGATATATATCAATCTATAAGGAGTTGCTCGATCTACATTCTAGAAATAATTACTCGATCTACCATATATAAAGCCTTACTCGACCCATCCCCAAATAATATCCAAATCCTACCATCATTATTGTATAATTTCGGATACAGAAATCAAATAAACGAGTCAACTGCTGGAGCCACGCCTAACATTTGTCCCATTGAGTGGAGTAGCAGACTTCTTTGCTCGCAACATCACACATTCAAACCACCATTGAAGTATAAGAGTTGGAGCTCAAGTTTGTCCCTTGGCCTTGACAACCTTAAAGTAAGTGACAGATCTCAATGATGCGAATATTGGCTTACTGTATATTACTAGCAAGATCGCACGCCCCCTTTCGGATGTTTTCGAGTTCGCAATCTAGTTCAATATCGTCAGAAAGCGACCACTATGAAGATATGGAGACAAACTCCGACCAGGTCTTGGATACAATGAGATATAATGAGAGGAAGATCAAAGAAATGAAGGATGTCTGTGGGAAGTACTTGAATTGGGTAGTAACTCAACAATTCAAGGGGTGCAAGTTATTAGGGGGGGAGTATTGTGTATCCTTGGATATGATCGAACCGGTCATATTAGACACAGCTGCCAGCAATAATTTTATTGAACAACTCACTACAGGTGATCTATTTGGACGAACAACTATATCTAAGATCACCCAGCATACAGAAAGTTTGACAGTATATACGTTTTTGAAGTTGATAGAGAACAATTAGTATGAATTAGCTTTGGCTATAACCAAAGCCAATAAATTTATCAAGGAATAGGGTTTATATCTATTTGAGGAATTCCGAATAGTTGCAAAGAAAAGGCGCATTACAGAACAGAAGGAAAGAAGAGGAGATCCAAAGATTGAAGAAAAAAGATTTGGAGATCCCGATAGAGCTTTATAAGATCGGAGATTTTTTGGATGAATATGTACTTCCAAGAAGAACAGATTATACTATCGTTTGCTATACACTATTACAAGCAGTAAAGATGTTATTTGCGAAATCGAAAACCGAATGGATTGATATAGAAAAAAGGATAAACGATATCTATAAAGAGTTTCCCCTTGTAGATAAAGTTCTCACAATGGAAAAACTCACTGAATATTTCCAAAAAGCAACTTCTACAAACCCTTTGGAACAGGATGTATTCATAATAAACGAGAAAATGTACTATTTGTATATATTCATTATAAATCATTTATTTGTGCAAAGCAAACTTAAAGGGCATCGAGACAAATTATAGAAGGTTTTGGAATATCTGGAAGGAGTATTGGGCCACAATGACGATGACGAGACGACATCAATTGTTGGGCCAAGTACAGATACAACCCAAGAGGAAGAGGCCAAGTATACCACCAAAAAGCGGCGCACCACCGCACCAACTCCCAACCCCACCGATCAACGGCTGCGCCATCCTCCGAAGGTAAAGCAAAGAAAGTCATGGACCAGGAATCGACGCCTGATAACGAAGCAACCCCCAATGACAACGAAGCACCTCTTCGGCGGCGTTTACAAGATTTACATCAAAGGACCGCAGCTGAGATGGCTGAATACATGGCAAATTTGTAAGTCTGTAAAAGTCTAAGTGCCAAGATGGTATTCGAGATTGCCGAACTTCCGGCAGATGTTGGAGCTTGGGTCAGAGGAGGTATGGAGTGTGGGTCAGAGGAGTATAAAAGTATATAAACAAAAAATAGTTGATCAATGATTGAGATTAAATAGAATATATTTAGGATTCTGAATGTAATAATATAAATGTATAGAGTTTGCATTAAACAATGGTTGATCAATGATTGGGGTTAGATAGGATATGTTCAGGATTCTGAGTATAGTGATATAAATGTATAGAGTTTGAATTAGACAGTGGTTTAAAATTGATCAGAAATTAGCGGAGTTGCATCAGTCTGAAGCTTTCATCCAATGGATTGGTTACTAAAGCTCGCTTCTCCATACTTGAATAGTTGTCAATATCAGAAACGTGTCTTATCACTCTTCGGGTTGATTTACGACGCAGATGGCGCAAATATATCTCAAAAAGTAAGGGGATGTCATCCTATCTTACCTCGTCATCAATCTCTCAATGGCACGTATTGATAAGTCGATTGAATTATATTGAAGCATTGAGTACATACAGCTCGGAGGTTGTGTAAGTCATAAGCCATTCATGTTTAAAATTACCGAATATTGGCTAATAAGCTGGTGAATGATATCCGTAGGCGACCCTCGAGTCTAGTAGCAACAATTTGATAACCCATATGAGCAAGATAACACAAGATTTTCTTTCCAGTCCCTCAAATTGACTGCTGACTACTCTTCAACTCCCTCCTCTGCAACCAAAGTTGCGTCGAGATCCTCGTCCTCTTCATTGTCATCTTCCTGTTCATTCTGGTCATCATTCTGACCCTCACTCTCGTCGCTCTCTGGGACAACCTTTCGATTGCGGGCACTTCTTGATCTAGTCGACTTTCTCAATTCGTTTACACCGGACGTCGTGATTTCGATAGTATCCGCACTTGGAACAGAGACAGATTCAATGTCCGCGGTGACATTTGAGCCTCGCGGGCCTTTGGCAGTATTCAGGAGCTTTCCCACTCCCAAATAAACGGTTTTCAATGTCGCAACCACCCTGCAATCTTGGATTGGAGGCCAGGTGGGAAATGAGGGGCATCCAGCGCATCTTCTGTAGGACCTTCCATATATTTCACAACATATTCGTACCAAGCTTTGGCTCTCTCCTCTGTCTTGAACGTTGACCGGGTCAGCATGACATCTCTATCGTTTTATTCCTCATCACAACAAGCAAAAATATAATCATACCATCACAGATTCAACAAAAATATAAAAGTCTGAATCGCAATTGATTAAATTTGCCTATATAGATCCTCATACTCATCATGGAATTACCTAATATACTATACTAACAATAACAAAGTTGTATATTATAGTTTAACATCTCTAACAACAAATCATCATCACATTTTGAAAAAGCATAACCTAACAAATCTTTGTAGCGTTAAAGTATAGATGTTACTAATTACTGCTTACTTGATTATACCTCAAATATGAATATTCTAAAGCGGTCAATGATCCTAAACTTCTCAGCTGGACCAACCCACCACTTATCACCTGACGTAATCCCCGGTAAAACCGAATCCAAGGTGCTTTGATTGAATCACCACCATGCTCGCTGTAGTTGTAATTTTCTCATACAGAATTCCAAGTAAAGTATTTGGACTAATTGGGGCGTACGTAAATATCAAAGGAACAATACGATAGACTTTAGAATTAAAGTAGAAGATTTTATTTGTGATATTGATATAAGTTGATGATATCTCTAATGAATGTACTAGTTACAGGAGATGTAGCATCGGTAAAATCAAATTTCAGTGGATCAAAATTTAATGCGTTCCCCTCCACCTGCTTGAACGCATAAGGAGCGACCTCCTTTGTCGTTCTTTTCCCCACATTTCAAACAAATACTACACCAAATATATCCCCAAACCCCATCCCCTCCTCCATCAAAAATCATCCATCCGAATTAGTGTAGGGGTTAACATAACTCGCTTTCAGTAACCACGTGATCAAAAGTCACGTGGCCTTCGTCCGAGTAGCCCCGGGTTCGATTCCCGGATTCGGAAACACTCTTTTTGGTTTTTTGGGGGTTTTTGGGGTTTGTGGTTTGTGGTTGCTGGTCTTTTGGGGGGATGGGTGAGGTAGCGGGGGGAAAGTCTTTTTTTTTGGGTGGAGGGGAAGATTGAAAGTGGGGTTGTGTGGATATGGAGTTTGTGGAGTTTATGAAACGAGCTTTGAGTCCGGCATCTCAAAACCTACTTCGCAATTCGTCCTCCGGAGGAATAATTATATCATTTGAAAGCTCTAATTCTTATAATTATTTTACTTTTATTATTTTTCAATTTATTCAATTATTTCTCGATTTGTACTAAATTTAAAGAATTTCGAAAGGTTACACGTGATATTTTGAAGAAAAGTTCTGGTCCGTGTAGTCTCCACTGCAACATTTGGTGTTTTTGTAGTAGATTAGATGAAAAGAATGGAAGGGATTTGATGGGATGGGATTATTGAATGGATGGATGGGTAGAGCTAGCTGTTGTGGTGATCCACTGTTTTGAGAGACTACTGTACCTACTCGCATGTATGTTCTGCATCTACGCGCACTTCTGCATTTACATTTGTATGGTTGTTATGATTGAAGATGAAGAATGGGCCCGGGTTTGGAGGTGGAGGAGAAGAGGTATGTGTATCAGGAACTGAATGTTTTTGGGAGAAGAGGTACTAGTAGTTTTGCATAGCTTAGTTTTCTTTAATATGGAATTAAAGTTTTGGCGTCTGTTTATCTATCTCTGGAGATAGGTACAAATATACGGAGTACTGTGCATATTGTTAGTCTTTGTTCATTTCTTTCAATATGTTTGCCTAGTAGCTATTTGATAACCGGTGATATATTTTTTACCTATTGTCGGTATGACCACCGAAATCGACGTAGATGATCAGAAACGTTTATGATCGTATTGAAGGTATTCACAATCGGTAATCCCGTGAGGGCGCTTGGTTTGCTACGCAATTGACCCCTTATGTTTAAAAGGTTATATTGCGCATAGAGTTCGAAGGAACTCTAAGATGCGACGGCCTCATATAGAAGCCTTCGCTTAAGTGAAGTGCACGTGCTTTAAGAACACGTGACTACCAACACCTATATATCTTAAAAATTATCATTTGTACGGATATCAAAATAACATTTATATCTCAGCTAGACTTATCATCTGGTTATTGAATCATTTACCTAAAAACGAACGCATCATGTGTATCACCAAATTTAAGGTTCATCAATTAATAGACCATTCAACAACAAAAATTCCATACTTTTCTCCTAAATATAATAACCTAATCTAATCATCCCTCCTCTCCTTTTCTCTCATCTCCTCTCCTCACAAATCATCTCAGGCTCCACAAGCTGTGGACTATACCCGGTATCCACATCCCTCACCATCCAATCTACCCCCGTTCCCCGCAGAAACAAATCCTGATACTCAAGCGGAATCCCCGTATCCTTAAGCGTCCTCACAAAAGCAATTCTCCCTTTAAAAGCCTCTTGATCCCACGATGCGCGCGGACACGCACTATGCCATGATGCGTAACTGGGACAGAGGGTGGACATGACGATGGCGTCTTGGAAGAGCGGGGGTGTTACGTCGCTGTAGAGGGGTGGACCGGGATCGTCACATGTGAGGATCCCGTTGGGTTTCTGTGTGTGGGTTTGTGTTAGAAGATAAGTAATAGAATGATGAGATGTAGAGATGAAGAGCTGAAAAGTATATGAAACGTAAGGTCTTACATCAGGTGTAATATGAGGATATGAGGTGGTAATGATCCACCATGTGCAGTAACGATATCCCCTCCATCACCCCCTTTGACCAAGAGTGATGCAATGTATGTCTGTCCTAAAACAGATGTACTTTTACCAGCTGCCTCGCGATCTTTTTTACCTAGACCATATGCGGCTGCGCTTCCTGGTACACCACTATTTAAGCATTCAAATTAGCATTTTCTCCATCAATCTCCATCTTCCTCCGTCTCCAGCCCAAATCTTCCCATAAATCTAAGGTCCTTTAACTTCTACAAACATCAAATATACATACCTATAAGAATGCATGATCATAACCACATCATGACCTTCGGTATCCAAAATCGGTAATAACATCTGTTCTCTCACATACTCGGCATCATCTTTCGCCGTCACATCTTTAGCTGCAAGTCCTGGTCCGGTACTGGGGAGAATGGCGGAATAGACGGGATGGCCTCGTGTGAGGAGGAGATGCATTAGCAGTCCATAGTGGGCTGGGGATTGAGAGGCTCCTGGTACGAGTACGAATACTGTTTTCGAGGGGAGACGGGGCATTGTGTTTGGGGTGGATTGAGAGGGGGAAATTGAGGAAACTTGTTAATAGCTGAGACGGGAAGTGAGAGGAGTGAAACTGGTTTCGAATTAAAAGAACTTTGAAGGGAGAAGAACAAAACACGGCTTTTATCTTCAAATAATTATACGTCGATATCTGACATACATATTTTATCTTATGTGCTCCCTACCAACCAACCAACCAACCAACCGTTGTAATAGAACTAAGATCCATATACCCAATGATTGATTGATTGATTGATTGATTTTAACGTCCACACTGAGTCTAAGACTATCTAGGACGGCTAGGGGCTCTATGAGCTCCTAGTTGATGCTATGGGGAGTTGTATGCTAGCTAGTATACAGTTTGTATAGTTTGGGTTTCTTTTCAACCCTTGAAATGTTGATTGAGGGCAAGTGAAAACTAATACTGGGGAACAAAGCCCGATATCTTTATCCTCTAAGACCTTTCCTTTCTCGTTCTCCCTCTATCCTTTGCTAATTAAAGCATCCTATTGATATAATCTTCTTCTTCGATCCAATCTGTTATTCCGATACCCACTTTCCACAAAGGTCAAGAGTCATCTCCGTCAAGATTACCTCCAGTACAGCAAAAGGGTCCTCATACTAGTGAAAAGCAACTGGGAGGTACCATTCTCCTCAGCTCGAACTCATTCATTAGCTCCTTTGCATGCCTTCCTAGGTGTGATGATCTCCAGCTTTATTTGAATGTAAATAATCGAAATCGCCGAATGGAATATCGGTCGTTTGAATGTAATGATAGTGGGGCGTGGCCCTAACCCTACCCATATACATACAAAAAATATTTTCGTAAAATCGAGGAAAAGGCGTAATATCGTATCGATGCCTAGAGCATAACATTAATTGATAGATGATAGTATTCTCTGTTTTGTGATAATCGTAGTGTTAAAATGAATGTGTTTTCGATAGTCGATTGTCGAAAAAAGGTATAAAATGCGAATAAAACAATAGCAAATTCCATATCGAAAAGACCCTTCTGGAATAGAAGGGATTTACTAGGCGTATCATACCTTGTATTGAGGTAATAGTCGATGGCAGATGTTGAATCTAACCAGGGCTTCTGTAGCCATCGTCCGTATTTTGGGTTGATATTCGTTCATCCTTTCGAAGATATTGATGCTGTAAAATCGTAATAACCCTTCCATCGTGAATATCGCAATCGGGAAACTCTCTCTTTCTCTTCCAATGTATCCGATTCCATCAAATGACTCAATCTTAGCTCTGCAGACTCTCAATAGAGAGCTGGAGGTTCGTAGAGGGCACCACGTACAGGTGTTGAGTCTTCGCCCTCCCCATATACCCAATGATCATAGTGGTAAACAGGTTAGAAACTCAATCATGCGTAATACTTCACGGCACAGTAGATATATTCCACACCGTTTGGGCATCGTACGTACTATTTGTTGGTGGCGTAGAAGTCGTCGTAAATTACATCAAAGTGTAATACCCATCAGGACAAGATATATGTAGAACTCGGTAATTTGGCAGCCCAGTTTATCAATAACTTCCGTGCAGCTTCTTCAATCATTGAAAAATGAAACCTCTGCGAAAGATCCATATTCTCATATCCTGATAACTTCATTTAATCTAGAGACCTACCCTCTGCATTACAGGGCTTTCGAAACCCAAGCAAATCTTTTCACGCGATACCATATCTAGCGATTGATTAGACCAGCAAATCCCTCTCGAATATCTATCCAGAGATACTCAACAAAGTACCGAACGCTGCTGTCTCCATTTTGCGATATACAACCTTCCTGACCATCTCCTTTCCAAAACCGATTCACAGATCGAAACTGAAGGAGAACTTCCAGCCATCGAAAACAGACTTCATCGTTCAAACCGAAACACATCAGGGAATTCACCATCTATTCGAAAGGGATCTGGGGCTTCGATCTCTCCGGCTTCGACTGGAAATGTACTGTGTATACGTCTGCTCAACCCATACCGCCATAACCAGGTAAATATTCTTCGATAACGACCGTCGTATTCGGCAAGAAGTACAGTCCCAGCTAGGGTGGTTTCCCAGACGTTCTATACTAATCACATTAGTTTGGCGATCCCCTGGTATTCTGAAGAAACCAGTCGATATCTTTGAAGAAATGCCAAATTCGTTCTAGAAATTGAATTACTTTATTTTCGTAGAGTACAAAAAGATTTTGAGTGGTATATGTACAGTCAATTTTTCCTTAGTGTCATTAATTTTTGTAGTGAAACTATGAGCCACCTCACGGGTAATTCTGATCTTAGAAGGATTTAAGTTGCCTAATGTGATGATGGGATGTTCCATTGTATGTGTGTCAGCAGTGGAAGAGTCGCCGAAAACGAAGAAAGATGCAGAAAAGCTGTAGCCGAAAAAGGCTAATAAGATAAAAGAGAGAATACAGTGAAGGATGAAGTGAGGTAGATGAATTTGTAGTATTGTGAGATGAGACGAGTATACACTGGTTGTCTCGTTCTACAGCTTGTTCTTATACATCGATTGATATGCTTCATTGCTGAGGCCTTTGCGCACCCCTCCCGTCCCCGAAGAGAACAACAATTACATGCGTATACTGAGAAATAACATAGGTATACAGCAATACCCTAAACTGTCAAAAGAGTTAGAAAATTATACAGCATGCAACATCAGATGAGAGGGGTTCCGACACATCTCGGAAATTCGGCAATATCTACATGTCG